AAGTATCATTAAAGCCACTTCTGGGTTTTTTTTAAAAGAAACACTTGCTGTTGATTATGATGAAAGTATATTTTATTTATTTCTAATAACATTCCTGACATTTACCTCGCTAACTTTCAAAGTATTTAATTTTATATTTTTTTTATATCCAGAAACTTTGCATTTTACTTTTAAGTTCCATGCATCAGCGAGTATATGAAATAAGGAAGATGGAATGATTCATACAAAGTGAATGTTACGTGACCCTATGCCTGTATTAATTTAAAAATGAAGACTAAGGTTTAAAATAGAAGCCCTGTGGTCAGTCTCCAGATGCTCAGTGTGAAAGAATGTATCCTCCTTCTGTCATAAGCAGTGTTTTGTTACAGTAGAGAAGACGAGTCAAAAAATCTCTTTATTTGTATATTTGTTTTACAGTTGTAAACATGTCCCTTTGTCTACACTGGTAAAATAGGTCTCTTTTTGGCTTTAGCAAATGACATAGCATTTTGTACTACAAGAGTGCATGCAGTTTTGATTGACCTCCCCCCCCAATTCTTTTTTTTTCTCCAGTCCCACAAGGAGGATGCAAAAGATTCTACTGCTCTAAGATTCTTTCCTTACTTTTATAAAATATTTTATTTTTATTTTATTTTCATAAGTCATTTTACAAGCTATCCATTTTACTGGAAAGCTGATTTTTTTTTTTCTTATGGCCTCTGCCAACTGAACTCTGACTGATCTAATCAAAATATTCAGCATCTTCTGCCACCCATGACAAACCACCCATTATTTTCTTTCTAAATATGATATAGAAATCTTCTGATATATGCTCTTTGTCCGGCCACTAGGGGCTTTACCACAAGAGCAACAGCCAACAGTAGCACCTGTGGGACCAGTGTCTAAATGAGATGGGTTTTTTTGTTGCCCTTTTGTAGTAGATATTTTGGGAACCTTTTGTTTTTCAGTTTCATTTTTTAAAATTGCAAATTTGGCCTTTGGTTTGGCAGAGTACTTGCACATGCTCAGTGATTTTGTGGGATTCAAACATATCCTTAATATTAACCACATACCTGAAATGCTTTTCTGACTAGGGATGGATTTAAAGCTATGATCACGTGTTTTGCTGACTCAGGACTTTACTGATTAAATCGAAGCAACTGTGGCTGGCAATTGAATTAACCAGTAGCACCTTCTCAAATGCAACATAACATAGTTGAAACAGAAGGTGAAATTGTTGTTCCATTTCAATATAAATTACTTTGTTTCTGAGGCTTTTATTAAATTGGGTAAAAGGTACTGTATCAGTTTTATCACTTTTCCGCCCCACT